CAGGTGGGGGCACTGATGCTGCGGGAGGTCAGGCGCTTCTTGCCCGGCTCCCGCTCCGCGTGCGGCTCCGACAGGCAGCGCTTGCGAGAGCCGGCGCTGGAGAGGTTCAGTCCCATGGAGGAAGGGCTGTGCTCGCACACGGGACTCAGCGACCAGGGCACGAGGTCCGGCTTGGTAGTGAGCTGCAAGGGCTGCTCCGCTGGAGGAAGGGGCAGCTCCTTGGCCAAGGGAGTCTTTTGGGGTCCTTCCTCCAGCTCCGCAGGGGGCTGCCGGCTCTCGCCCTCTGCTTTACTCGGGGCATTGCTGCCCACCACCCTCTCCTCCCCTGGCTTCCTCCAAGCCTCCACCTTCTCCTCCCCACCCTTCTTAGGAGTCCTCTCCTCCGCAGCCCGCTTCCGGGGAGCCTCCCCAGACTTGATCTTCACCGCCTGCATGCCGTTCTCCATGTACTTGCTCATCACAATCACAATGCGCCCGTTCTTGTTTTTGTTCTTGACGATCTTCATCTTTCCCCCAAGGCCATTGCTGGTCACCCTGTCCCGGGGGGGCGGCCCGGTACCACTGGATAGGTTCTTCTCAGCTCCATTTTTGCTCTCTGCTGTGAGGTTCTTGACTGGGCCCAGCAAGTTTTTGGTTGGGCCGTGAGCCCACTTGTCTGGGTGGGCGACCAGGGGGGTCTTGTTATTGTCCAAGCAGGCCTGGCCCTGCGGCTCTTTGCTGCTGGGCTGGTAATGGGGCTCGTACATCTTGGGGTCCGGCTGGTAGTGGTGGTGCTTCTTGCTGTTCAGCTGGTAGTAATACTTCCCTTTGCTGTGCGACTGGTGCTTCATGCTGCTCTCCTTGCCGTTGGGCTGGTACTGGTGGTGCTTCTTGCTGTTGAGTTCATACTGGTGCTGCTGGCTCTTGCCAGAGGAGCCGAGGTCCAGCTTGGGCCTGGTGTCCACGGCCGGGTCCTGCAGCCCCGTGAGGATGTTGGAGCGGCGGGCGAAGGAGGGAAGCTGCAAGGCAGAACCAGAAGGGGCGGTCAGGCGGGGCCGGAGGAGCGGGTGCCGGAGCTCCGGCAGGTGCCGAGAGGAGCCCCCGCCCCTCCGGCAGCTCTCCTTACAGGATGCTGCGTCCCGGGGCACCGCGTCCTCTAGCAGGCGGCCCCAGCCCACTCCAACTTAGAGGCTGTGCATTGCTCCAGATTAATGAAGCAATGAAAAGAAGAAAAGCCCCCTTCAATCAGCTGTCTGGGAACG